GGCCCCACACGCACTCGAACCTCTGCCCTCCTGAATGCTAGACCGCGTGCTTAGCCGTTAAGCCACACCAGACCACGGAGGAAGTGACTTCAATATTTCCTTATACCAATTAATCACTCATAATACTAATGAGTAATAGGACTTACACACTTCTGAGGTGCAAACCAATTCGTTACTTGGATGAATTGACGATATATTGCTTCAATATATCAGGCATACCTAAATCAAACAAGAAAAGGGTATTTGACACAACTGTACTTGAACCGCATACTCTACACAATTTTTTTTGCTTCTTAACCGTATATTCTTTTCCGTTTTGTGGAGTATTCTGATGCACCCTTGGTTACGCACCTAGTTGTAGAACGCGGTCATCACAGGCTCAAGGTCACGCGTTTGGTCGATTTTGTTAAAGAGTCCAAGTTCCAGCAAGTTCACCCTTTTACATATATGCATTACAAAAGAGTATTTTTTTGTTTGTTTTCATGGTTTTTCGTGCACAAGATATCTACACTATGTCTATTCTCTTCCAGAATACCAATCCGTTCTGGAGACCAAGCACTTATATGGAACCGAACAATTATCAATTACATTTATGTATTTCCATTTTGTATCTTATTATTTTATGCAGGCAGTGGAGCAGTTCTTCAGGTTTGCTTGATTTTCACCATTACCTTTGAAGTAGATTCTTCTTTACTTTTTACTTGAGGGCGACTCAAGAGGCAGGTGAGTAAACACCTGATAGCCGGTCTGAGCACGGAAAAATCGTACCTCACCAACATGGTGTTGGGTAGCCCGCTCGTGGCACTTCCTCAGATATTCTTATTCCACATTCTCACACTTTCTCTTGAAAGCACGCAGCAAACCGTCGGCGATAGTTGTAGAAGAAATCACATGCTACAAAATAAGATGACAAGCTAGTAAAGAGACATCCATGGACTATCGTTGACAGCGTCAGTCGTCACTGATTGTAAGTCAAACAGTGAGCGAGTTGATAATTTTCCCTTGGGATGAGAAATAGAACTAAGGTGTTTTCGATAGTTAGGTTAATCGAACCGACGTTCCTACGGAAGTCGATTCTAGGGGGAAGCTAATGTAACAGCTTAGGTTGGTTGGTTAAGAGTTGACCCCAAACAACCAAGCATTTGCCAAAACAGTATTGTTCAAGTATTCATTCACTTCCTTGTTTTGTATAAGCGTTATATTCCCTATTATCTTATATTGAATGTTGAGAGCCTTTGTTTGTCTGAACAGATAATCCCACGCTCCACTGTGACCGCGCTAAGATCGAAATAAAGACCTATTCACTACTTGTCTGGTTTCTTCTATCAATAGCACGAGGGTTACTTTAGGGCACGAAAACACCACGTAAGATATGTAACATGATTAGTTCCAATAGAAATGAACATATGCGTAGTGAAATATCAAATTTCAGTGCAAACTAATAAAATTAATGTTCCCAACACTGTAAATCCGTTGTAGAGATCAGTGTGCAATTGTTTCTTACTAAGATGATTTGTTTCACTCTTGTAGATGACAGACTATTTTGATATGTGAGCGACTGGCATAAAATGATTCGCAAATTGACTATTGGCTTGTTAAAGCTGATTTCTCACACTTTAGTTGGATGATAAAGACTGAATACGGGGTTTAATAGTTCGGTTTTACTGTTTACTACTCAACATAGAGAGCAAATTGAACCCTGGCTTGTCCTTTTTGACCAAACAAACATTTCAGCTTTCATAAGGAGAAATAAGGAATGCATTGCATGCATATATAAGGAAGTTGGTAACTACTAGCCATAATGTCATTATCCATAAAATAAGTTACTGTTTAGCACCTAAACGACTACCTGTGGATGTAATGTCGACCACCTCCTAGAAGAGACTGATAAAGTTATGTTTAGTTACAGAACATACGAACTAATTCAGTGATGGGTGGAAATGATGCTACACTAAAAACAGGATATTGAAGAAAGTCTAGTCCTTGACAGTCATGTATTTATATTAAACATTACTTATCTGGTATGTAGAGGTTATCTACAATACTACCGGCCGTTCATCAAAATTTTCTGATAGACCCTTCCCTTTTTTATATATTGTATGTCGAATAATGACTTTGATTATGATTATTCCTCTTACTTCCAGTTCATAATCGATATGTAGTTATATTATTATTTAGATGTGATCTTCATATTAGTATTATTGGGGAAAAAAAGTTTTATGATGAGATTTCGGCACAAGTAGGGTATTTCCGTCGTGGGATGATTTTAGTGTAGGACGATCGAACGATCATATCACCCATAGTTACCTCGAAAAATAATTGAGTGTTTTTCGCTGCTTAATTAATTTCAAAGGGAAGCAATTAAAATGATTAATTGCATCTCAGGGCTCTTGAGCACCTATTTGTGTCTGACTTAAAACCCGTGTTATGGTATCAGGTGACTTTGTAGAATTATAGACTACCATGATATTAGTAGTGCTCTAATAATAGACCCTAAAATTGTAGGTTTGTCATGATATAACTGCTTAATTTATGAGATCTTACATGGAAGTCACATCTACGTCTACACCATCTGACTGCATTGTGACAATCACCTATACATGATGGAGAACAAGATTAGGCTAGAGATAGAACAATGTATTGAATATGGATAAAAGACATGTGGTATCATTCAACAGAGACCACGCCCGCAAGGTCAAGACATGCCATCCGATCAATTCGAATTAATTCAATTCATTGTTCCCGCCTTCTTCATCGTTAGGTTTTCTCCGCGTTCAATGTTGAATATCTATTTCCCCAATTGCCCCGTGTTCAGCTTTGAGGATTGTGTAGTTAAGGCCCAATGCCAATACAATTTAAAAGCGCTTCAGCAGATACCTCATTTAACAATGGATGCACGGCATTAACCCTTGCAACTTGTCTTTTTATTAGCAAGCGCAGTTGTCGAATTTCGGTGAAAATTAATATTAACTCACTGGTGTCCGAGTCTCATACATTTCTAGAACAACTGTGAATCAGGAGACAATTTATTCATTCTAACTGAGTCACATTTTGACCTTGTTAATTATTCATTTATCAACCTTGACTGCTGTCATATGAACGTATGTGTGTGTACACTTCTAGTCCTATTTATCACATGTCTGTATCTTACTTTTGTATGACTATAAATATTGATTAACGCTTGGTGAAATGAGGTTGGCACACATGCCTTCTCCACTGCGCGATATTTCACTTTGCTCTCTTCTCTTTGCTCCTCCGATATTTTGTCTGGATCAAAGATTGGATGGAATATCCGAATTCGAAATTCGTTCTCGCATTTGACTAGTTTAATTCCGTTATTGACTAATACGATTGAAGTCGATAATTATATACGAAGATTGACGGCATATATATCACGATAGCAATCAGAAGTATTCTCGCGATCACCATTTCTGACCACAAATTGTCAAACTTTAAACGTAAATCTCACTTATCTATTTTCGGCTTAAAGGATAGTGTATATGAGAACCATTACCTCCCACGGTATAGTCTTATTAGTTGTCCAATCCGTTGTATAAGCAAGCGGTTTTCCTGGCCTGTCGTCATTACTGATTTTAATGTGGGCCAGAATTATTATAATATTGGGGGGATAGTGTAGTGCCTTTGAAAAGTCAGGATGATTTAGCTGTTCCTCATTGGCTACAATGCCTTCGATCACCTTTTGATGAACATGAAAATGACAGGTATTTGGAGTTTTGACAACACTTTAACCGGTAACGCCTCCTACTATAAAATCGTACCTATTAAGGGAAATCAAAAAGCAGAAGCGAGGAGGTTCGAAGATATATTTGAAAGGCTATCAATATATCGTGAATTGACCGAACTAATCTGGCTAGCAATTGCAGGGGATGTTGAGCACAGTGTCCCTTCTCGTGATCTGGTGCGGATGCATGACTGAGCACCTTCAGCTAGATGAGTCCATTAAAACTAATGTGGTCAACATCCAATGTCGAATACTTACACAGCTATTCACTCTTGTGATTTATTTACCACTACAATCACTTGGCATGAAGATGTGGCCAAATCCGCTGTGAATAACACTTTGTCATGAGTTGTCCAACGTACATTGATACAAGAGTTATCATCAGTCATATAATATATGCTAGATGACCTTGACCTATCTACGACTGTTAACTCTACGATTCTGGACATAGTATTTTTTGGTCGTGATTCTTGTGTGTGTGCACAGCAAAGAAGCCGTTATCTACAGAAGACCTTGAGCTGTAAAAATTTTAAGGATGTCATAGATAGATAACGTTTAAGAACGCAGATGTACGTAATATCTTGATAGTCTTGGGTCCCAAAGCTGGCGAACGTAGAAATCAGAATGAGCTAGAGTGTATCCAGTTGATCGAATGGATCGCAGAGTCTTACGAAACGATTTATTTTGCGGATATTTGCGGAGCATGGTTTTAAGATATCATGAGCATTCGGGGTATGACAGCGTATTATGCCAACCCAATCGACTCAGAGGTTAGAAGCGAAGAGGTTCGAAGATAAATTTGATATAGTATCGAGAAGTGATCAATCTAAGCGGTGTAGCAGTTATAGGAGATGTGAAGTAGGGCGTACCCACTCATGATCTGATATGGATGCATGAACGGGAGCCTTCAGCCAGGTGGCCTCAGTAAAACTAATGCAGTCAACACCAAGTGTCGAAGACCTACAGAGCTACTGATTTTGAGTATTTATTTACCACCACACGATAAAGAATGTCAAATAAACTGAATCAGAATAATAATGTTATGTGAGGAGTGAGTACATAATCTGAGTCTATTCTACTTATGTATAAAAAAATAGCCTTCCAACCGAACAACAGAAACCATTGAGCCTTAATTTTCTTCTTTTCGAGGAACTGAGGATTTATTAGAGGATTTCTAAACGTATCATAAGCCCAGAACAAATGAATTGTCAGCTGATAAACAAATTTTCGATCAGACCATCGGAGAACATAAACTAATGCCCGTTTCATAGACGCTGAATCGATTGAATGATCTTCATTGCTAGAACTTACACAAGACTTGCAGATTACTATCTTTTCTGAACTAACAACCTTTTACAATGAAGTATTTTCAGTAGAATAACTCAAGACAAGATAGAATTAGCCTCTAAATCATCAAAAACTGTTACTGATAGTCAAAGTTGGTTTGTTTATATTGCTCAATAAATATTGATAGATTTAAGTCTATCTCTCAAAAGTGTAACGTGTTCTTGTAGGAATGAAGAAATATTTGGATGCTACCAGCACAAAGCTCAGTAGGGCTTTGCAGGTTTGTTTTAAATTTTAAAAGTCGGCTACCTCTCTTCAAGAAAACAAATGAAGTCATAGGAAGAGCTGAAACGACAGAATTCGATGAGGATTTTGTCTCACTATTAAAGCAAGCAGAATCCACACATGAAGCATCTAAGCACATTATGGGGGCCATCGAGCAGTGGATCAACCCATGTGTCTGTAAATTGCATTTTATCGACAACCTAATGACTCTTTATTCATAGTAAAAAAGTTCGATGATATCGGTCAGTTCACTTTAAAACCTCATTTTATCCTTAAGAAATAACTTTTCAGTTAACTTAAGATAAGTGTATGCTGTTCGTCTTTTTTGTATGGTGTTTTGTTCCATATTCTACTATCATGTTTATCGTCCGCCTTGATCTCTGAGAGCTCAACATGTCACTTATTCTGAGAAAAAGTGGTTTCAGTACACAAGCACTTAAGGACAATTTTGACTTCACTAGAATGTTAAGATTTTGATTCCTTGATGAGTAGTATGCACACAGACCTCAGCCTGTCACGTTTAGAACTGAGTTCGTTTGGCATAAGTGGAAACTCTTAGTCATGGTTCATTCACTACTGAAAAAGATGTTACCATCGCAACCGTTTACTGACTGTCATGTTTTGACGTGTTTACATAGATATTTGTGTAGCAAAATGATATTCACTTTACGATGTAGCCTAAAATCAACATAAATTTTTGGATCTGTGAAATACCTACTAAAGACCACACGGAAAGATAAAACCGGAAATGAAATTTTTCTATCACTTTCATTCCATAAAAATAAAAGTTGGATTATGCTATGTTGAGTTTTAAAAGTTTATTATGATACAGTCTGTTTCGAAATCCTCTCCACAGTCTTCAAAATTTACAACTATCTTCCTAATTTTGTATTTTGTTAAAATTGTTGGAAAATACATTTACCTAAACAGTGTGTTAAAATGAAATTCATGAATACAAACATGGTTTGTGGCAGTTCATCGTTTGGCCTCAAGATGCATGAAGAACATATTAACAAATATGAGCCTGATGGCTGAGTTGATATTTTCTCTCTGATAGAAGATATACAGTTAAATGTAGACATCCATAATTTGACCTCATGTTATAATCCAAACCTACAGAGACGTAACCTTTAAAGTTAGACAAAGTTACGATCTTCAAAAAACTGAATACAACATTTATCTATCATATTACACTTCCCCCTGAAAATGCTCAACAGTGAAAGTGTTGGTGTTCCACTACTGACAAGTAATAAAGCACTATGTTAGCTGATAGCGTATGTACTAATATTCGATTTCTGCTCCGGAGTTCTAATCAATCCTCTAATTAGTAGTATTAATGACTTTTATACTACTAACGTAGGAATCGTCTAGTATGTGAATCCACATGCCTGAACACTGCAATATTTATCATATTTCGTCAAAATTTAAATGAAATCATTGAATTTATACTTCGTTATTTCATTTAGCTTGCAAAGTAGAAAGTATGGTCACAGATAATAAAAGTTATTGGCTAAAGGTTCCTGCAAAGTTACCTGCCGAACATCTTGGAGATACACTACTCAACGCAGCTGTTGGTGTCGGAGCTGGTACTGCATATGGTAAGTTCACAAAATATAGCCGCGAAACCAACTCCCCACGTTACTTACAGCGTTTAATTAAACACTAATTCTGTACAATAATAGTCAAAATATCTTTCTTCTTTCCTGAAATGAATAACAAACAGGCCTCTTAAAAATGCACACACATTTCAAATTTATGGTGGCGAAAGTATCGTCTACTTCTTTCCGGCCCACCAATTCAGCGGAGTAGTGGTTCAATAAATGAATAAAAAGTAAATATAACCCACTGAAATGTGTACAGTGTCTTGTATCGTGACGGCCAAATATATATCATTATATTATTAGTGCTGACAGTTGGTATCTCATATAAAACAAGTACTGTTGATTTAAATCCTTATCATGGTTTACGAGATGCATGTGTGTGCAATATTTAATCGTTAACACAGCTCAAGAAGAGTTTATCACTTTCTACTTTATACGTCTGCCCCACTTTTTTCTATGCACCTAGAAAACGCTATTCATTTACTGTAGAATCACTTTCTCATGGAATTGAAGGTATCTTTTACTCTTCACTAATAAAAGATAAAGGACATTGGAAGTAGTTGAATCCATATAATTTTGGGAAAAAATTTTATTAAATGTGTCACGAAAGGTAAGTGGTAACAAGTTTGCCATTTTATAACCATGTTAACTAGTGTGAAAGATAAGTAATTTGCTGATGATTTTTATTACAGATCTAAATTTTCAGACACTGTATTTAGGTAAAGTTGACATGATAGCAATTTTATGTTCCACGTTATAATATGATCTAAGATGTGTTCGTTGATTTTACTTGATGATTTAGTTAAGTTTTTCAGAATGTACCTGGCTTTTTAGATGAAGATAAAAAATTATGTAGCTTAATAAGTATTGCAGAACTGGCCATGTATTCATTAAACTTTTCAATCAATAAATAAATAACAATTTTTGTAAAATCAGTTGGGAATCAGTATGAATAAGTCCACCTTACTTTATTTGTTAGATTAAAGTCACCATGTCATCTTAATGAGCCTTTTTAATACAAAACCTAATACTGGTTCAATGTTGAGAAGCAAATTATGCGAGTATTTCAATCAAAAACAAACACTCAAAGTAATATGGGTTAGCTGGTAGATTAATATCAAAGACTAGTGGTTGCAAACTTCCGATATTCTGAACGAATAAGTTTTACCAGTGTGTTTGCAGTTGAGTTACATTTAAGTGACCATAAATTCCCTTATAAGCTACATTTTTACGAACCGTAGTAAAATATAGAATCAAACAGAAATACAAGTTTAAAATTAATTAGGAGTACGGATTTCAATGTTCAGTAAGATTCGCCAAGATTTCACGATAAATAGATTTTTATTAAGACAAATCAATAAATTTTCCGGAAGTAAATTAGATTTCGGGAATAATAATAACAGTATTCATAAACAATTATACCCTCAATACATTAATAATTGCTAAACTTTTTTCAGTCTTTATTTCAAACAGTTAATGATCCTAATTATCTAATCCATACATAGTAGGCGTTTTTCCACGAAAGTAATTGTTGCCGTCATGTGATCTGCAATCCACATTGTGCATCGTTTTCAATGGAGCTATAGTACTGATTACTTGTGACTTGATAAATCCATGATTTGAACGGTTTTTTTCAACCGGCATTTTGCCAGGTCAAAGTCTGCTCTTTACAATATTTATTCTAGTAGCGTAGTGCTACTACTAATTTTTTCCATAGTGACTGTTGCTTAATGCACAGTTCAATCATTGGTGATTGATTGGTGAGTTGGTAATTGAATGAGCTATGGACGGTTCTAAATCAATAGGTTTCATCATTAGCTAATCTGAAAACTCTTGTAAAGATAGAGTTTTGATGTTTAATTATGAGCATTAGATTCTACGTTTTTCAATAATAAAAAAATACTGACAAATACATGACGCTTAGTCTTATCATATAGTCGATTGATACATACCATCAGTACCAATTTTTCGATTTAAGCACTCAAATGAATTGTCATCAAAAGATATTACAATTGGCCGGTCGATAAATTATCTAGTTGGTTAACATTTTTTGGAATAAAATATTGAACACAGATGAAACATGGTTGCGATTTATTTAAAAAAGGCAATGAGAAGATACAAATTTAGAAAAAAAAGCACTTACTGGGCAAGTTGATAATGACCTGAGTCTCAAACTTAGTTATTGCCCTTCATATCACAAAACCTTATGAACTGGAGAATATTTAACCATCACAATTCGTTTTAAAAATGAACAACGCTTTACATCCTTGTTCTTTTCTGTTAAGTTGGATTTTAAAAGTTCTGGTCAGTAAACCGACTTTTACAAAGTAGGATACTAAATGATTAGAAAAAATATGTTTTAATAAATGCTAATAGCCGTATTATTCTCGATTTAATCTACTTATTGTGATCAGTACTGAGAACTAATTCCATATACACAAAATGTATTACATCTGATAGATGTTCTTCTTTCATTCGAGCGCGTAAACTGATGGGTACACTATGAACCATAATGAATTGTTTTGTGCTTTATGTACAGCTGGACCGTTTAAATAATATGAGGTTTTTTGATATTATTATTTTACATTTATTCTAGATTTGAGTTGTTCATTTTCAGTACAATCTCTGAAAAATATTAATTTGTATGAAATTAGAAATAATTAATCATTGGAAAAGTCAGTTTTCAACAGAGATCATAAAGTTCACATGGTATGGTTTACTTGAATCTTCCTATTGATATTCAGGACTGAAATTTATCAGTCTCTTATTGACATATGTGCATACTGTGCGTATTGCCTCGATATTGCTTTAATTCACAAACATTATAAGCAAAGATGGATAGTAATTATTTATAGTATTTATATTATTATACTAAATAATTCCACTGCTAGCCACTATCCATCTTTGCTTAGAAATCATTAAGTGTTTACCACCAATGTTCACTTGTTCTCAGATTATTCTTTTTAAACTTTATTCAAAATCTATTTATATAGAATTAAGAATGGAGCTCTATTTATTGTTTAAATTACTGCCATAATAACTTTTCATACATTTGAATAGGAATGGATCAATTTTGAAATGTAAACAAATTATGATAGCTAAAACTGATTAACAGTCACTGTAATATATGAATAAGTTCTATGGTTAATTACTAAAATCCACGTTTCATGCAACACATTTTCTAATCTGATAAGTTACTGTAGGGGCAGTGAAATGTCACTAAACTGTGGTGTTTGAATTAACTAATGATTCTTTTGTACTTGTTGAATGCTCGATTTCGAATTCTAAATACAGTACATTCGTTGTGCCTGTGTCTTCTTAATTCAATTGCGTTAATCCTGGAATTCCTAATTCATACGATAATTTCGAATACTATATAAACCCTAGCCAAATCATCCGGCAGTTGAGCCATTGAATATCGAGCAAATCATCGATCCTCGTCAAGGTCAGGGACACCCAACGTACATCAGTTAGTCGTATGCCATGGACTGTCCCACGCAACAGTGGTCTTACTTTCGCTTGTATCAACTTAAACTAATATATTTCTGTAATAACGTCCTCTGCGTTGTACAGTCTTCAAAGCATCTATGGTACCTTGATACGTCAATGGGGTAGTCCACGTGAGGTGCTGACCACGAGGTGTGACTTCGACGTTAGCTAGTTTGTCACACCATTCACGTCTGACTCGAGTAGGCCCCCAATCATTTCGACATAGATCGTTTACGTTGGTGTTCTACATTACCATTTATGTGTTTCTTGTATCAAACCCTACAAGTTAAAATCAATGCGTCAAACTGTATAACAACAAATAACCTAAACAAAGTATATTCTTTTCAATAAGTTCATTTTACATTCTATATTAAACACTAACCATTTCAAAAACATAAATTTTAATTTAATTTTATTGTCCATGTTAAATTTATGCATTGTAAATACTTAAAGGATCTATTCACCTATGAAATTGTCTATCTCATTGAAGTATTCATTTGGATTTCTAACAGTAGAAGCTAATAGGCATCACAAACATTTCATGCAATTAGTTCCCTTTATGAATTTAAATAAAGCAGGAACAAATATTGATGCAGAATAGTATGAATTCATAATATTTCGAGGTTTCTCGTCAGCTGCTTACAACCACTGATATGTAATAGAATTTCACATTGAGATAAGAAATAGTATAGGACAATTGACATAAATGAATGTAAATAACTGGAATGACAAAGGTTTACAATGACAACTATATATATGCAAGAACAGGTCATAGGTTATTAGGTGTTATAATCAGGGAAACATTAAGGTTGGATGGTGTAACAGTTTTATCTTATCTGTCTCTGAACTCCACTCAGCTATTACACCATCCATCCTTAATGTTTCCTTGATTATAACACCTAATAACCTATATATATAGTTATCATTGTAAACCTTTGTCATTCCAGTTATTTACATTCATTTATGTCAATTGTCCTATACTATTTCTTATCTCGATATAAAATTCTATTACATATCAGTGGTTGTAAGCAGCTGACGAGAAACCTCGAAATAATATGAATTCATACTATTCTGCATCAATATTTGTTCCTGCTTTATTTTAATAGGCATTAATTGAAAAACTATTCTTCATTCATTTCATTAATATTTTTGTGTTAATGAAGTGAGAATTCTTCAAGTTAAATGAATGATGCTTTTTAAAGAGAAAAAAAAATAACGCATAAATCGATTCTTTGACCTGAAATTTATCATCTTTTTTTCTTTTCTCCTTACGTTTGCCTATTTCTTGGCATATTGTAACATTGTTGCTCACCTCTTTCGTTATCTACCACCATCTGGCTCTATTCATTGTTATAATGTTTATAATTGGTTGTATATTTTATTCATTTCTATTTTTCAAATTTCATTTAACATATATTCAAAGTTAAATATGTTAAACATCTTGTTTATGAATTAATATATGGCATAGATCAAATTAGGAACCATTAAAAAAGAACTTGAACTAAACGTTAATATAGTCCACCTTTTCCGATTCATTTTTATTCTCCTGTTAGATGCCCAAAATTAATTAGTGCTGAATTAGTTGTCTATCATTTGGTTGACGTTTTGAAATTTACTCTTTCTGGTTAAGTTTTGAAAAGTATGTAGTTTTGCTAGAGCTCATACAAAAAGTGTGACTCAAAGTCAGATATATAAAGCTGATTAGTGAGTTACATTAAATCAAATTAAAATATACCCTATAGCCTATTTACTAGTACTAGTTTCGTTTTGTTTATTAACCTTTAATTCATAGATTAGTCTAAGTGAATCGATATTGAGATACATAATGTATCTTAAAATTTCATGCAGTTCTGTTATCATTGATTATGTGCAATCTAAAATAGGTCTTGATTTCTTCTGAATATAGTTAATGTTGCAGATTACTGGTCATGCTCACAGACTTAGAACTAGAGGCTTGAAAATGTGACGTGATTTTTGAAAATTTAACATAAATCTCTCTGTGAACTTGTTGTTTTTTGAAAGATAGAAGTCATTACAAGAATATGTAAATGGGAAAGGAATAAGCTGCACTCTCGTTTGCAATTTTGACTTAGCACCTGGAGATCAACCAAAATGAAGCGGTAATTATTATTTACACCATTGTTACCCATGATAGAGTGCGTGTTTCGTTTTCTGTCGTTTTTGCTGGCTTACACAAATAGTATAAAATTTTCTATGATAAAAATATCACTCCATCATGCTACGGAGGTGTCAATTGTATAGCAATCAGTCATGATTGAAGAAAAATTGCGACATACTTGCATTCATACCTCCAATCAGTTTGATAATAGGAACTATTCCAAATCACCACTTCAATCATTCTCATCCTGTGTACGTTCACTGATTTGATTTAAATAGTAAAACAAAACAACAGAAAAGTTTCATGTATTACGATTTAAAATAAATAACTACATGAACCAAATCATTTGCAGATATTTAAAGAGCTGAACAAAAACGTCTAGATTTAGACAAAATTCAAGTTGATTTTATTTCAAGTAAGTATAAATAGTCAAATAAGGGTTATTTCAATCAGTCAGTCAGCTACAACGTAGGACCAGGCACATATATGCATCGGTCCAAGTTGCCATACCTCATTAACACAACAAGATGAACACCAGATTCATAAAAGTAGTTAATTCAGAGATGATAATATATAAAAGAACGACTGCATATAAAGACATAGTGCAGGAGAAAAGAATTAGTTCGTAGAAAGAAAGATATGAAGCGATTTTAATCTCTTACTTTAAGGGAAGACAGAGAGTGTATACACCGACGCCATTAAGGGTTATTTACATACCTATCTATCACATGATCATTAGACGACATGCTTGTTCTTCTAGAAAATCCTAATTATTTGAAAAATGAATCAATTCATTCAATTTCATAGTAATGACCAAATAAAGTAAACAGATGAGACTGAAATTGATTTATTTCCTCTATTCATTTCATGTAATATGCTATCAGCATTAACGTTGATGCATACATTTCAAACTTTTTCTCCACCGATACATCTGTTTGTAAGCTTTTTTTATAGCACAGTTTTCAATACCGACATGTATTATTTTTTTTTGGTCATTCATTACAAACTTTGAAACTTTGCGCTAACTTTCCGAAAAATATACATTTATATTCAGAATTTCTATAGTACACATTCCTAACTGTTTCTAATTGTGGCTCCTCAATACTGTTAATCTAATTCCTAACCCATTATTTTTCAGTCTTCATTCTGTTTTGTGTCCTGCGCTTCTCATGTTTGAATTTCCACTGCAATTGAAATCAACCCCTCCCTCACTTTGTGAACTTGAAGTGTATACCCAGTTACCCTAAGTTCCACTTTGACGACTGATTAACATTGCACTTCATACAGGTTGATTGTATATGTACAGATATTATCGATTAAATTCTAATAGAACTTGGAATGATCTGTACTATTTGGTAACTAGATTTTTTTACATCCTCGATATAAATATAAATTATGATACAAAATGACTGGCATAAATCAAATTTCCATCGTATATTATGATTTCTAACGTAATCAATATCACCGTTCGGTTACACAGTTTTTAGATAGTTTCGTTATTCTTGTCTTAAACTTTAGATCATTATAATGTAATGAAACCTTAAAGTGATTATTTCTAATTTCAGAAACGTATTCCACTACATGGGGGTTGTTAACTTAAGCTACATACAGATTAGTGAGCATTCAAACAGTCATACAGGATTATGTAGTTCTATTTCTATATTATGATTCTGCATTTTTTGCTTGCTCGATTTGTCTCATTCGATTAGTTTTAAATACCAGTATCGGTTTTTCCTATTTTTTCGAGATTTTCTCATATTACCTGTACTAATGTAAAGTGTAACAACATGAAGTGGTAAACTACTGTGTTTAAGGTTATACATCGTTTCAGTCCAGCCATTAGTCAGCTTATTACTTGTGAACAAAAACGAGCGAGTGTATATCTTTGTGTGCATCCAAAGTTTAATCCTAATAATAATGCAAATAACCATCTACCATTCTTAGTCAACTCACTTGTGGGACAAGTAACCTTAACGATATACGTAAATTACAAGTTTTTGTAAAGTTTATATGAGTACTGGTGTTAGTGTTCATCTGTCCAAACCTAAGTAGACAAGAGAGGTTAAAACTTACGCATTAAACGTTGAGTAATTTAATAATTAGGCTGCAGCTCGATGAAAATAAATGCTTATTATACTATACGTATCCCATGACTTAGAAATATAATTTACAACTTTTATTTATTGAATGTATTCAACTACCTGATCATCGAATTATACCACTGACTCAATAACACAGTGAATCCTACCTCAACAAATTTAAATGATATCTAATACAAAACAATAGCTACTAAGCTACTAAGTTTTAACTTGATCGTGTTTCTTTTTTTCATTTTAGGTGCAGCATTGTCACAATGTGGCGAGTACAGTCGTCAAATAGCTGCAGCTGAAAGTCAAAGAAATGCGATACTAGAAAAGAAAACATTATGTGTATTACATCATTTTTTGGCACTTGAATGGCCTGAAATACAAGTAAGTTATTGTTCAATTTGCTTTGTTGATTTATTTGTTTTTTATTGAATACCAAGTTTCAATGGTATAGGAGTAGGTTGGAAGAAAGCTAGGGGCGTCCAGACCAAAACATGGCACAAGTCCATGAAGTCACTGACAAGTGGACTGAGTCATGTTGGTAGGTGTAGACTAACTGGTTGGGGACCACGAGATGATAGCAACCGATGGTTAGAGACCTTGAATGACATGGTTCAAAATCGTTTGCAATGGCGCAGGTGCATCCACTCTTTGTGTTCTCTCAAATTTTAATCTCCTGATTCCTCCTTGTCTCTTTTTTCTCTCCCCAAATTTATTTCACTGTATTATACTCTTTAAATAACATCTCTAAACCCTAATCTTCCCAATTACTGCTTGTACTGTTACTACCTCTATCACTACGGGATTTGAATCGACAACTGCCTCTCTGTTTTAATGTGGTATGGCAACTCGAACTGATTTACGTACGTAGGAAGTTTTACGTTGTTACTGACTGACTGACTTTAAATAGAATTCACTAGTGAACTCATGTATATGTTTACTTACCTAATATATATGTTCTGAAAAACATTTACAATTAATCCTCTTTTGTTAAGTTCCTTTCTTGAGTTACTATATCTAATCAATACGCATATGTTCATGTGTTTTTTTCTCTCTTAATTATTCATATAATATAGAATATTTATTATGGTTAACAATGAAATATACTTCATTCACTGATTTTCAATTAACCGATTTCCTAGCTTGTCAATAATTAGATTTCATGTAATTGAAAAATGATTATGATTAGATTCTTCTTTTTTTATTCTGATTGTATACAATAGTTATCATTATTGATTGACCTTAGACAATGAATTACGTCTTTAGCCTCCTGAAGCATATGATTTATTGATTGAAGTGTGTTCTGTGTGTTTTTTTCTAAACATGTTCTGTTTTGTAACTTATTATTTAGTTTTTTTTTTCTTTTTTAAAAACTAACCAACTTAAAAGATGTCAAAATTTCTTAAATTTATACAATCTAATATACAAGTCATATGAGCATATTTGTTATTTGAGTGAGATCAAATAAACTATACTAAATTATCATTGTTTTGACGAAGATTACATTGTTCAACATAGTCAAAATGAACAAATATTTAACATTTGACTTTCATTAGTCAAAGCAAGTTTTGGTCACAACAATCGATGATTTTAGACTAAAACTGTTGAAGAGAGATTGATTCTATTCTTTTTTATGTGTTTTACTTTGAATTGTGTTTTTTTGTGTTAGCAGTAGTGATTCATCAGTGCTATCCGAACTTAGTTGCGAATCTCCTTGAATGTTAAGTACATCAATTGTTATCCAAATAATAACTATGCATTTTAGAGTTGGTGCTATTTATCAACTAATTCCAATCCCTATTTAAAAAAATCTGCATTACTGGAGCATCTTAAATCATCTATGATTTATTCCATTTTATTATCAGTTGTCATTGTCACATAAATGTGGAGATTAACTGAAAAGAGTTTTTTACTAATTTAAGGGTTTTGTACTCATCCAAGATTTCGATAAGTCACTGGACCTAATTCCAATTTGGGTGAATTTACAAAAAATAACAACTTACTACTAGGACATTAGGGAACTCATCTTGATGCTACAAAAATCAAAAGTAATTTCCATGACGAACTCATGAAAGGATTTAGTTTAATATACGCTACAATAAAATAAAATCGCAGTAAGTTCTAACGATATTTCTATAAGAACCTGCTCTCTATGTAACGTTTGGGTTTAAAAGTAAAATATTGAGCCTTGAGCTATCTGGCTGTACAATGCCATATTATCTAAGCTAATAAAATTATCATTTATAAGGTTATTTATTGTATACTATACTTTACTTAACTGATGTTATGCTTTCATTTGAATAGATGGTTAACACTTTTTTGATCATCTGGTTTATATTCTTGTATATTACAAGTATCACATTATATTAACGAATGATCTTTAGTACGGTAAAATATTCGCATAAGTCTAATATTTATTTGTACAAGTCAATAAAATCAAAGTGTTGTATCCTTTATATTAAATCCAGTATAAAGCCTATCCAAAAATGTTTACCCTTATGACTCTTCAGTAAAATGGAAAATTGTTGTGTATGTGAACTTGTAATCAATTATCCATATTGATTGAATATGTGACCAAGTAATCATGATTAATCACTAATGTGAAAAATATTGATGTAAGCTCTCAACTAAACAAATGTTGATTGATTGAACAGCTCTTCATTAAAATCGTTTTTCTTCCCTGTAAAATAACACTGTTATCTACAAAGCGTTTCACTGTATAGTGATGATTTTGTAGGTCACTTATTAAAAAAAGATAGGCTTCTTTCCCTGAATATATGCCAAGTATGAATTCATGTAATCAACTTTGAGTCTGTGATACTACTATCCGGTTGATCAAATTGAAGCAGATGAGTTGGGGTTCGATCATGTAGTCCACTGATTAAAAGTTGAGTAATTTAATCATTAAGCCATTCTTTCATAGAAGTAATATAGTAGTGATTACAAATTACTAAATCCTTAACAATGATAATATGAAAATTATATTCGTTACACAAGCTAGTGGCTATCGGGACTCAGTAGGTCAGTGAATAACGGAATGCTAGTTGAAGAAGTTAACTGGGTTTGAGCTTAAGTGTGAAAATTTGATCCTCTTTATCAGCAACGGGACAACTCAACCTTTACTAACAATGAAATAAAGATCATGCTTGCTAACTAGTTTTATCAAAATTTCATTCTTCTAGATCTTGTAGTTATAACTGTTACTTGGTTTAAATTAGTGTAATAGGATTTATGAACAGCTTGGTCGTTTCCTTAATTGATGTATATTTTACAAATATCCACCTTCGTCAGAATGACAATCAATTTCAACTTCTTCTCAATAAGCCTGTACAACAAGATAGATGAAGAAAAGTAATCCGAAAAAGTAATAAAACAGCAAATCGAATTATTCTCAAGAATAATAAAAATACATTTATTGAAAATCTTGCTTAGTAAAGTTTAGATTTTCTTTAGATCAATCAAATTTTATAACTATTTCAAGAAGATTTTTGTGTTCTTGTGAAAAAGAAGCCTTCTTAATCGACTGTATTGAAAAAGACACATTTTCACACATATATATCAGTCAGTCAGTCATTCAACTACAACGTAGGACCAGGCACATATATGCATCGGTTCAAGTTGTTATACCGCATTAGCACAGCAAGATGAACACTGGATTCATAGAAGTAGTTAATTTAATGGTGGTAATATATAAAAGAAAGACTACAGGAAGAAAGAATTAGTACTTTTAAAGATATGAAGCGATTTTAACAATATATATCTAAGTATATTCTGAACTGAAACTGGCATCAGACCCATTAAATTTGCATTTTTTAGCAATATCATATCTAATTAACCTTTATAACAGACGATAATATTCGAGTTCTCATAAAATGTGTTTTTAGACAGTTACGGAGATGTCCAAATTAATTTTAGTTGTTTGGTTATATAATTTGTGTAAGTAATAACTACCTTGTAGATGGTTTGTATCATAGACTATTATCTACTGAATAACATGCATTTTTGGTTTTGAGTTTTACTCTAATAGAGATTTATCTATAATAATTATGTTAAGATAACCCCTTATATGTTTATCTTTTTATAGAAAGAACTTAGTCATTTGGAGTCGTATCGTTTGGATTATGATAAATTAAGAAGTAAAGTGAAGCATAATGAACATCCAGATCCTGAAGTAAACCTTATTCTAGACTTGTTTTTTGTCTTTCTAAAATAGGCAGTCATAAATTTATAATGACAGATTGAGTTATCTTACTATAAATAATTTATAAAAGATATTTAATTACTTTTGAAATTCCATATGAAAACATAGTTTCCTTTGATTGTTATGGTTTGTTAATTAAAACGTTAGTTCATTATCAGTCAGAGGGATATGTTAACACCCTATATAACTGATCTATTATCTACACACCAATTAATTCACTAATCACATGCTAAAATATGCATAGCTCATATATACATGATTTTAAGGCACTTGTTTGATATATGTTGTATAGATTCTCACCAGTCATATGATTAACAATAACTTGGTTTTTCTTTATAATTCGTTATAAGGATAAAACGAATTAGTCGGTCAGTTGTTTTATTTTACAAAAATACAAATATTCCAGTAACATAAAACATTACTAAATATATCAATGTGCACTCGGTAATCCCCTGTTGATTTTTTTGTATAATATGTGGTGCACAAATAATTTTCAATGATCAGTATTGGCGTGATTTGTCTGTTTGTTTATAACAGTACTGATTAAATTGAAGATTAAATAAACTTTTTATGCACCACATCAATGTCATGTTAAATGAAAGCGGCGACTGAAATTGGTACATTGAAGAGATGTGAAAGAATATGTATCTTGTTTGTACTTACTTTTCTATGATTTCTGGCAAGTCATTGGCAAAATCTATTAATTTTTATCTTAATTAATATCACTTTACTTCGGAATGTGTAGAAGTATCGTTGATGATATTTCTTTCGTTCGATTAAAGCGGCACAATAGTATTTATTAATGTAAATAATTTATTAACTACACAGCTATGTACTATGATCCACACCTTGGGAATTAGAGCTAGAGGTAGTACGCTGCTTCCCGACCTAAAGATATTTGTGATCGGGTTCGAACTGTGTACTTAATAGTTGGAATTGGTAGCCCTTAACGAATAAACCATAGTTCAACAGTCGTAGTATTACTAGTTCTCATATAAACAATGTGATTCAAACCAAAGTACATAAATCTGTACGTGGTGAATTCTAACAGTTAGTATTAAAACAACTCTATCTACGTGGTCTAAGTAACTCATTTATCAAGAGATTTAGTTAAATTCCATATGGTTGATGTCTCAAAAGGAATTTAAAATGTATTCAAACGTTTATATCTATTCAACAAAAAATCATCCACCAGGAGGTAGATTTTACATGATTTCAATTTCGTGATTTTACATAAATCACTGACTTCTGTTTGTTCAAATAGTAAAATCAGCCAATTATGTTAAATATCACATATAATCGCACTTTTTTAAGAATTAATCGATAGATAGGTATAATTTTTCATGTCATGAAATATAAATTTGATTTCCCTATCTGGTAACAAGTCTGTGTAGATATACATGAGACTTTCATTACCTGGACAAAAATATGTGAACATTCCTAAAAGAAGAAAAATAAATAATAACTTCTGTTATACTTTGTAGAGTTGTCGTTGTCTATTGTTTTTTTCGTAAATCTTTAGAAAGATTTGTGTTGGCTACCAATATTATGAATGGTCTAGATCGTATTTTCCATTGTTTGTTTGAACTTAGACTTTAAGATAATGACTTCATGGATTTTCACGTTTTGTTTATATCTGAGGCTACCGACCCAGATTTTGGTGATAATGTAGTGAAGAAAAACACATGAGGACAACCGAATTATATTCAGCTCAAAACTACAGAGTTACTTGGTAAAATAGAAAAACCATATGATAATACTTAATTTGCAAAATGTTCAATAATTGTCTCGAACTTCATTGTTCTTGCATTTCCATACTAATTGCTTTCTATTCCCGCTCTTCCTTTCTTGATCTTCCCCATCTTCTGCCGCCAGACATAACATTCCTGACTCGCATCATATACTACTTATATCAATATAAATAGCACGCACCACAATAGCTGGAATTTTTTTGACCGATTTGACCTACTTTTACTGCCTTAGTGATGGATTCTGAGACATAATGTTTACACTACTTATTGAATATGAGTAGCACAAAACAAACATCATAATTTTGTTTTGAATATCATACTTGGCTGATTTGATATTTGCACAAAACTGATAGCAATTGTCACTCAAACGAAGATATAGTATTCTCGTTCCTAAGTTTTTTTCCAGATGAGAATACCTAATTTGCTATGGTTGAATCATTTACACATGAATGATATTTTCAGTGAACTTGATGTTCATGTCTATTATTGAAGTGTTCGAAGTATACTTCTGATCATCACATAACAGTGGAGTTTCTATGACTAGATATAACAAGAAACTGAACTTCAGAGAAATATTAGAATACATTTCAATCCAAGGTAGACAGTAATGAAGCTTTCCTATTTATACATAGTTTCAAACACTTATGATCTACTCAACTAGTCAATGGTTTCAGAATAAAATTATTGACAAAACATTGTTTGTCAGCATCTATGATACAAAAATCTCTTTCTGTTGTTTTAACTCTACGAATTGTCGATTTAAGCAGCTCTTATCGTCCTTTAAAAAAATGAAGCGCGAATAAAACGTCTTTACATTTGTAGCATCTTTATCCTATTTAGAAAGAATTAGATTGATCTTTTCCAGTAAGATTAGGATTACTGATTTCACTAATGTTTTGATCAGTAGCTCTACCACCTTTCTTGTTCACAAGAATTAATGAAAATAACCTTCAGAGTAATAACCAGTGACCGTCAGATTTCATTTAAAAACATACACAAATATTTGTATATAAATGGAAGGACAATGATTAACTTTTATAGTATTATAATCAAAACTGTCCGCCATTTCTTCCATTATGCGCAACTTTCGATTTTTATCATCACAAACTTATTCATGTACACCAATCTTTTTTCTTAAACAGACTTTGACAAAAATGGAAGACGCTAAAACCGTTCTTTATAAACAACTAGAAAAAACTAGAGCTAAACTACAGCAGGTCAAGTCGGTAAATGTAAGTCAGTGAAAATATTCACTTATTTTTATTACTATTAAACCATTTTTATGAACAATGTAAACAAAACTGTATTTTAGCTGGCTAGTACTTTAATATGTACTTTATACTCACTTGAAGTTGTTTTACTTGTATCTTCCCATTATTATTTGGACTACAATTGATCAGTCTTATGTTGGCTCAGGACTCAGTAGCTAGGGGGAGAACGCGATAGCGTTTAAAGCGAAAGGTACTGGATTCGAGTCGCAGAGTGTACATCAACTCTGAGATGCAGGTACATCCAGTTGACGAGTCCCAAATAGGACGAGATACGTGTTCTAGATTCCACTGCTAGCAACTATCCATCTGTACTGTTTATGGATTACTAATAAACCTTAACACATTGTATACAACATTGAATTACACTCATTACATACGTACATATTACTCACGTCTAATTGAAATTCTAAGTAATCTTTTTTGACAATATAGTTAGTTTGACCAAAAAATTTCGTAATTTTATTTAGAAAATTTGAATTTCCTTGTTTCCGCGCCAAAGGCGCTCTTGTCACCTTCATGTTGTATTTCCCACTGGGAAATATCTTAAATGCTATTGGTCCGTTGCGTCTTTTAGTATGCTATTTGGTAACTCTCCCCAAGGACGGTTTTGCACTGTATATATACGTTTTGAATTGTGTTTGTTGTTATCGCTCGTTTCTGGCTGTTTTGCAGAATATACTTCCCATTCCAAGCTTGGACTTCTCCCTCTAGTTAGTGGGGCTGGGACGCATCAAATAGCTAGCTTACTGGTCTTTGGTCACCGAGTCTTGTTTCTCGTTCGCAGATTAGGTGAACTCGTGTTAGCTTCAAACCTAGCACAAACTGAGAACACTTTTTTTTACTTGTAATTATCAATTTAATAAAGTTGTCCCTAGATTGTTATTACAGAGCTGATTTGAACAAAATAAATAAGAACAGTACATTTATCTTTCAGTAATCGATAAATTCAGGATCTAACACTATGCTTTAATTTCAATTCAGATTGTAATCACATAATATATAATATGCAAACTTTCACAAAATATATAAGATTCATGACTTACTTCTATGTTCTTTCAATATAGTTATGACTGAATTAGAGTTATATGAAATATCGAGTAAATCTCGATTGATTGGTAACATGTAAAAAAGGTAAAATGTTCTGTTGTCATTAAAAGAAATATTCAAAAGATCAAAGTTATTAACTTATTATACTTACTAATAATCTGTTAATCGTATAATAATTCAGTAATCGAGCAGTTAAGTATTTATTGCTAATCATAACAATCAATTTTATGTTTTTAGTTAAGATCTTGAACTGATTGATGTTAGACCACCATTGTAAACCTGGAAGCACTGGAATACTGTTTCGTCCTATTTTGGGACTTCTCAGTAGTGCGCATCCACGATCCCGCTCGCGGGATTCAAACCCATGGCACTACTGAAGAGTCCTACAATAGGACGAGTTGACCATCCAGTGCTTCCAGGTTTTCAATGATGGTTTAGCATCAATGGGTTCATGATCTGAATCAAAAACTAGATAATCTCCACAACTCCTATACTGATAATTAATTTTATGTATGAATTTGAAAGTCGTTTTTTCATGGGGCGGGGGGTGTTATTATAAATTTGATCTCTTTATTCACTTTGAAAAATAATACTAATTTTTTTTGTTATAGTATGAACAAAATGACTTATATTAGGAAATGAATTATTTCTCAAAAATTCTGTCCAAATGAGTTAAAGTAAACAGGGTTTTTTAATAGTCACCATTTTTGACTTTTTGAGACACTTCTGAATGATGGATAGTAAAACTTACGTTTGGAATGGTTAATTCCTACTAATGCACTTTTGAAAAAAATGTGTAAATTCCCTTATTTTTCATATATATCATGGTTGGTTGGAGCGGGGATGAAACATTGTGCTTTCTTTTGTCTTCACGTTAGTTGAGTCATGCGTGATTGTGTTGGGATATTCAGAAGAATATCCCAAAAATTATTCTGTTAAGCCTAATGCTATCCTTGGACATGAAAAAGGTGTCATCCCATTGGTCAACATTCATTTAATGTGTCATTTTCCTACTGGTCAATATTGTACAATGTTATTTTCTATTTTATGGTACGATGTGGTCTGCTTGATTAGTATATAAACAGAGTGTGTTTGAAATATAATGATTCATATATCCGAGGCTGAGACTTGCGTTCTGGACTCAACTGGCCGGGCTAGACAGGGAAGCGGGACCAATCAGAACGCTAGGCCGTTCTACGTGTTTGCACGTCTTTGGTCCGATCAATAATTCTCTATCCTCTAATCTGCTGCCGTCACAGTTATAGCAGATTGAGAGCTTAATACAAGTTTGATTAAAGTATATTTGTGTTGCGTTTACAGAGTGCATTAATTATTGTATAAACTTTTCTAATTGCGTAGTTAGTATCGTTCTACTAGTAACTTCGTAATTGGAATCAATCTTAAGATTGTTAGCATAATCCAATCAATAATGAATCACTAGAAGCCAAATAAAAACAAAACTAAAAACGGGTTTACCACTTTTATTTAATGTCCCTATATATTCATATTCATAGTTCTACTTGTTAAAAAATATGAAGAATGTTAACCTGATGACCAAAATCTGGAATACTGTATATTTTACTACTATTCAGCTTAAGATTTTATGGTTGCCGTCTGAAACCGGTAAAGATTTTAGCATCTTAACTATCCGGTGTGATTGACGCAACATTAGCCTATATCTTAAGAATACTAACAACCTGTTGAGATGTGAATGTTATTCAGATCTATCATTCATTGCCTTTCAAGTGAATATATCCGGATTACAAATAATCTCATTCTATACCCATTGTCAGTAAATTCAATGACGTTTATTTATCGGATTGATATGTTTTTGTTTTCACAGGACTCTAATATGATTGCACTAAAAGAATTTGTAGCAGCTCAACGAACTTATTTCAGTGAATGCAGACAAAGGACTGAAGAATTGTCTGCTCAAATGGAACGATTGAAGTAAACATGTGTTTTTCGGGAAGAAAAGAGATTAGAATAAAATGAAAACAAAACGCCAATCTTGTGTCTTCCCTATGCAACAGTCACTCTATACAACTACTCTATTGAAGCTCCAATAATAAAAATGATTTTTCAGGCTTTTTAGTCACAAATTCTTCGTGTTTCTCATCGATTTAAAATTACTCGTTTTTTTTTCTTGGGATGTTAACATACTTTTGCCGTTCAGTGTATATTTATATTAATGTCTATATTATTTGCCTTATAACTTTCAATAATATCAATAATTACATTATTGAATTCAATAAGGAATTCACTTATTTCTTTTCAGTACTTTCATAGCTATTCTTGGATCTATATTTGTGTACGTGTGTTTTCTTTTCTGGTTTATGTGTATTTTCATACATTTATTGTTTTTTTTGGGGGGAAGGGGTAAGTTGGTGTTGGTTGATTGAAAATTTATTCATTCTGTTATAAGTATGACTTCTAAGTTCCTTAAGTGGTATTAAAACTTATGGGTTATTTTATGTTAAGTGTTTTTATCTTACTGACCAAACAGTTTTCTGGTTTCACAAAGTATATTTAGTTACCATCAGTCCATATTGGAGATTAACTTTGTTATTTTATACAACAGAGAGAAGCAAATCATGAATGCTGGGATTTTATAAATAATTTTCTATATGAGATGCTGGTTGATAGAGAATCATGATAAAATATTCATTCGGATTCATCTAATCGATTTACTGTCATTGAGATTAATCAATTTTTCTAAACATTAATTAGGTTTACAAGTAAAGATGGATAGTGGCTAGCAGTGGAACCCACGACGCGCATTTAGTCTTATTTCGGACTCAGCTGGATTTACCTCTATCCCAGAATTGTTGTCCACTCTGGGACTCGAACCCAGTGTCGTTCGCTTCAAACACCATCGCGTTATCCATTTAAGTACTGAGTCGTGATAGCCACTTGCTTGTGCAACGGGGTGAAATTATTTTGACTTGGCGTTGTTTACTTGTATCTTCCCATTGTTATTTATGACTGCAATTGACCAGTCTATTGTTGGTATATGTGCATCCTGTGCGGACTGCCTCGATATTGCCTGAAGACTCAGTGGCTAAGTGGAGAACGCGATGGCGTTTGAAGTGAACCGTATCGGATTTGAGTCCCAGAGTGAACATCAACTCTGAGATGCAAGTACATCGAGCTGACGAGGACGAAACGCGCGTCGTGGATCCCACTGCTAGCTGCTATCCACCTTTGTTTATAAAGCTTGTGACAATATCGAGGCAGTCCACACAGGATGCACATATACCAACAGGAGACTGATCAATTGTAGTCCTAAATAACCATGGGAAGATACAATTAAACAACACCCAGTGAATATTGATTAGGTTTCTGCGAGAATGATTTCATAAATTGGATGGAAACAATATCAAGAGGATATATTGGTACAGCTATATGACTTTGAAATGACTCGGCCGGTCATAAACAACATAGAACTAACACATGTATGCATTGGGTTAAGGTACATTACCGCAACTATTTGAAATTAACCAGAGGAATAGTGAAGTAGTCAAAATTTTAGTAGTTTCCATGTTACTAAAAGTTGAAGGTTACGTATGAAAGATTGCCAAAACATAATATATGGAGGAAGATGAAGTGTGAATATATCTCACCGACGGTTACCAACTTTAACTCATGTCACACAACATGATTATCTCATAAACCCCCACCGGATAGCATACATTTACCAACATGTCATAGTCCGCTATTCAATGATTTCATAGATCTGTGCAGTATCTTGATTTAGATACTCCTAGATCTTTTTCAGCCTACTCTTTTCCCAACCGGTATCGAAATAAGTAATGGTTGTGGATATGCAATACATGTTTTAGGGACCTCAGTTACTGGAAATTCATAGCCTCACCAATTGATTTAGTATATTCGCCTACTTCCGACCTAAGTATTACTAATCCCTCTGTTCCACGATACATAACCAATAATTCGAAGGCAATTATGACCAAATAGTGGGAGTAGACAAGCTTAAATTAAATACTGAATCGTTACCAGTTAAGGTTTGCTTGTTTGAATAGTTCCGACCAGGTGAATTCACTACCTATTATTATTGAGCTACCATTCAAAACATTTAATCAAAAAATTCCTGTAGCATACCGAGGAAAATTTCCAACCGTGAAGTTTATGTTTTGTATCTAACACCTCTGTGTTAACAAAGCAAGACTGTAACAGGATGTTTTCTTAAGAGAACCACTTAAGTCATCATTCACTAGTGGAAAATTAATGGCCTTCAAATGCCTTTTTCATGTTATTTGGTATTCTTCAGTTAGCGGAGCATATCTGAAATCTTCGAAGAACTGACACTGCTCATGGATTTCGGGATCGTGTCACATAGTGTTGTAGTGAAGATCACTGTCGCTGAGTTATTTGGGTAGACAGTTTACTTTAAAGCAATAAAATGAAGTCACTTGTAAAACGCTTTCTTAGTTTCTTATCGAATATATTTCACTCGAACTAAGACAGCAAAGTCATTTGGTCGAAGACAATATATTTCTTTGCTTAACCTGTGATGTTGTTCAATCGAGAAGCATACCATTATATTACTTATCTTTTTTTCGTTTAACTACCTCATATTACAACAAATAATGTTGTATCCTGGATATCTAGGACAAATATTAGATTCTTATTTTTATCCCTATTTGTTTATCTTCTTCTACACTCACTTATCTTCATAATTCACGTTTAATCAGTAAACTTAACCTGGTTGTTTGTTATTTTGCATATGCATATATTCCCTAACCAACTTAAAAATACGATAACAATTTGTTAATGGGTCATTAAACTTCTCAACCACTCACCTGAAAAAAGTCTACTACTTTTCTTTAAGTTTAGATCGGTATCCCTAAATATCTATTGAAAGAAATACAGTTTAACTGAGGTTAGATGTCAGCTAAAGGTGGAATCCATAAAGTGCGTTTCATCCAGTACAGAAGTAATCATCTGAATGTAGTTGTATCTGGTGATATTATCACCCGGGCTCGAACCCGGTGCCTTTCGTTGCATACTCATCGCGTTACTCACTGAGTCCCGATAACCACTAACTTGTGCACTGCGGATGAAGTCAAGTTGAGTTGGTTTGAATTCGCAGGGTGAACATCAGCGCTGGAGTATAGATACATCCAGATGACGAGTACTGAATGGGACTGGATTCGACTGTTAGCCAATGACCAATGCCAGTTAAAACTTCAGACCACGTGGAAATATCCAGTAAATTCTCGTACAATTTACATATGCTAAAAAGAGAATGATCAGTCGCGTTCCTTAACTTAGATAATGTTAAAAAACACGTTCTGGTTTAGTAAGTTCAGTAGTTAGTCCAGCAAACAAAGGTATCCCCAGTAAGTACCAGAAGCAATGACAATGGAAAGACAATGTTTTTCAACCTAAGAATCGAAAACTTTTATTAATGTGGGTAGAGATGAATAAAAAATTACAAAATGAAGTTCAATTTGTGATACTGACTCATACGAACTGGAAAGCTCTTTTTTGAGACATGCGCATCGACGACCCTATCAAGGATCGAAATCAAGATTTTAAGGCTACTAATTAAAGTTACAACTGTCTTAATCAGTTTAATATGCTCAGTACACCCGACCGTTGCTGCTACCTTGATGTGGTGGTTAGGCTTGCCTATCGTAATGGACGAGTCGGGATATACTGGCTGGAACAACCGTTGCTCAAGGTCCTATCATGCTATACAGATCGGTTGAAGGGCAGTAAGACTAAAAGCAGCAAACCCAAGGTCCGAAGGTGGGGTCGTACTGCTGACTGTACAGAGGTATGACGGCACTAAGGTGTTTCTCTCAGACAACCAGCATAACAGTAATACTGCCATCCCACAAGGAGGGGTGGGGTTAGAAAAAGTCGACCCTAAAATTGCACACCTGACCTTATCCTATGGATTTCCGTCTCCGTCGGTAAGGTCTCAAAACGTACAAAGCTAACACAAAGATCACCCACAAAAATGTAGTATATGACTGGTCTAAGTAGTTATCCCTTGGGCACTGCAGTCATGCTCTCAGGTCACTAAGATCAACTCTAACCCGATTTCCTTTTCATGTACCTCTAGAAGAACCCATCCACGATGTGCGCAACCAGGAAGTGATAACCGCCCTCAGACCTCTAACAGAACTCAAGACCACTGTATTCATGATGTTCAGTACAGCATGGAATTCTCAAAATACAATATTTTCTCACAATATATATATATATATATATATATTTAGAAGTGCATAAGATTTTTGTTAAGTCAGCCTTATAACCCGTTCATCGTATGTTATATATGCTAGGCACAATATTATCGAGCTGTTGTACTTTTCTTTGTGTCTATATATGAATATGTATCTGCATCTCTTCCCTCCTAGATGTACAAATAGTAAGTTATGAATAAAACGGATGGCTTGTCTATGATGATAAATAACACTGACTAGTTGCTTATAAGATTTCAAATATCTGTCTACAATCATATTTCTAATAACAACTCAAAAGTTCAGGAAAAAATAGTATGGAAAAGTACAATATACTAAACAATAAACATTATATACATACAGTAATATATAATGTCATATAACTTTCATAAATTTGTATGTATCTTTAGAGTCTTAAGAGAACGTTTTATTTTGGTCATTAAATTACTTATTTACTTACTTATGCCTGTTATTCCTCGTCAAGGAGCATAGGCCGCTCACCAGCATCCTCCATCCAACCCAGTCCTAGGCAATCCTTTCCAGCTCTTTCAAGTTGTTATTCATCCTTTTCATATCTGATTCTATTTGCCGACGAAGTGTGTTCTTTGGCCTTCTTCTTTTCCGCTTCCCTTCCGGATCGCAAGTTAGGGCATGCATCGTGATGCAGTTTGATGATTTGCGTAATGTATGTCCTATCTATTCCCATCGTCTGTTGCTCATTAAATTATTCCATTGTAATTAACAATGGATATTTTATCCCAATTAGTATTCTATTAAACATAATTATTCACTACAAAAATTATTTTATTATTTCTCTGTCATATTATATAAACCTCTTTTTATTTTTCGAGCTAAAGCTAAAGCTCTAACCTATTTTTTGTCACTTGTTACCATGGGACTTCATCTCCTGACGTTGCTCATCGGCCTTGTGGATCAGACCTTTAAGTTGAATGTTCTGGTTGTGGCCCCTTAGAAAACCACATGCTTTGGTTTGGGCACCCCGGCAGTATCGCAGCCCTCATACAAATCGAATGACTTCTGTAGCGCTTATCTATTTGGTGCTTCCTTGTACCAATGTTTATATGTTTAAATAAATAAATCTAAAGCGAATTTCACCTTCAATTCAAACTTGTTTAAATTCAATGAATAACGGTATGTTTATTTTAATTGATAAAAGTTATAAAAAAAAGTGACGTTTAAACGAATAGAAATGCATCATAGTTTAAATTATAAACTGATAGGATTAGAAAAATTTTTTAGACTGAAATCATGAACTGATCAATGGTAAACCATCATTGGAAACCTGGAATGATGGGATGGCCGTTAAAAAGGCTTTCTATTTCAGTGTGATCATTACTTAGTACAGTATTTGTTTTGTTTCCTAGTATGATATTTT